AAAAAAATTAACTTGTGTTGATGTAAATGGATTGGATATGAAATTTGATATAGGGTGTAGTAAGAATAGATAATAACCATCCTTGCTTGTGTAATGTGTATGGACTTGAGAATTTTCCAATTTTTTGTTTAGTCTCGATATGAGACTCTCTGGACGACCCAACCTCTGTAAGAGAAGCGAGTTCGATAACAGCACATCCCCCCGTTGTTAGCGCATGTTCTCATTTATGGAAAAATGCACTATTGTGCTCGCCATGTCCGTCTGTCTGTCCGTCCGTGACTTCACGTTTTCGTCGACGAGAAAATGCGCGCTCTGTCACTCACTGCAGTGGGTACTGAGTTATATTTTTTTATAATGCAATTGGCGACCTAAGCAAACTAGAAGTAAAGTGAAAGCTGCTCGGAGAGAAACTTTCCTCCATTCTGCCATGATTCTGGGATAAGTTGAATGTGTCTGCCTCAAAGTGTGGCTTCAATTCTTAATAATAGGCCTACTTTTCTACTGAAATATTGCTACGAAGCCCAGTATTTCTCTTAAATTTGAAATATTTATACTCTATCTTCAGGGTATTCATGGAATTGTATACTATTTAATACGAAAAATCCAAATCTTTAGACCATGACAGTAGTCATTTTCGACGTCTACTCTTCAGCTAACAAAACGCTGCCGCTTAGAGCAAATGATCCTCACCCTAAGGGTAAGAAGGGCATTAATAATAATAATAATAGCGGTCTCAGCATTTACTAGGCCATAGGCCTGTCGCCGATTCTTAACATTGCAGAACATCCACAGCTTGTTGCGGTCTTGAACTCACAACTCACTGATTCAAATTCTGCTGTTCTTAACCGCCCGGCCTCCTCGCCGATTCTGACCAGAAACTGGCGCACAGAGCTGGGATCGAACCCGCGCCTCTCTGCTCCAATCCTGGTACTCTGAACTGTAACCACTGGGCCACCCTGCCAGCAATGAAGAGCATCAAGGTTGAATTCATTGCAAAAAATGAAACAAAAGAAATATCATACATTATATTTGACAAATGAGACAGAGAATAACATTTCTTAAACCTAAAAATCAGAATAACTTTGGCAGTCAAGGTTAGCTCGTTAAAAGATTTCCAGGATAATCGAGCAATGTCGTCTGAACGGAGTTAATGAGATTCAGAAGCGTTTACAGCGTCCTATCCACGAAAAAGATGATACTTATTTAAAATGAAGTATAGCAAATCATCTGCGGGTGGGAACAGCTGTGTCGTGAGCGAATGTGCAAAGAATTATTGGCCTGTTGTCGCTTGAGAAATAATCAACTATTCGGTAATGTTGGTGTAAAAACCTGAATGGTGTAGTGTGACTCTACATATACAGTTGCTTGGGGGAAAGTGGAAAAATTATTAAGTATAATAAACATTTGACAGTTCTCCGTATATATTGGTATTACGTATAATTGTCAGGAAATAAAATATTTTTCTTCATCCACAGCATTGCATGTTGACCCAAGAAAACCGTAATTGCAACAGTAAAATTAGGATAACAATATATCTTTCGGAGACGATCTTCATGAAGTATTGTCACGTAACAAATGGGCGATGATAAAAATCAACCATAACGAAGACGCTCGGCAAGCAGCTCTGTTAACACAATTCAAAATGATCCAATGAATGAGCTAACGCATAACCCTGGTAAGGACTTTGTTGTGGGTAGGTTGCTTGGCACAAGTTCCTCAGCGAACGGCATGCAGCTGCTCTAATGTTTACTTGCAGGAAGTAAATCCTGCATGATAAATTTTAAAATAGTTCACGTTTCAACTGCACACTTTGTTCCGACTGGCTGAGCTGATAGAAGTATGTCACACCATGCGTGTGAAGACATGAGAGTACGAAACGTGGTTAACATATTGGAAAGTCTTCTAGAAACTTGCTATTTAATCTGGCAACAGCAGCGAGAGATATTGTTCACCTTGAGAAAACAAGCAAAAAATTGTTTATAAATTACATTTTCTGGTCTTCAATAGAACTTATACAAAGAAACAACTCCTGCCAAACTATATCAATATAGACACGACTATGTACACTTTTATACATGAATTTCAGCATTAGCAATGAGCACGGTAAGAAGCGACGGATGCCAGTAAATAGTGTATAAAAAACATTCACATGACAAAATACAGATAATCATGTACGTATGCAGAAGTTATTCAAATAAATATGAGAAATTGACGATAAACATTAACAGGTTTACAAATCCCTGAACAATTTTTTTAAGAAGGCAAACCATTTATTGAACCAGTATAAACTTGAGATATATTAGGCTTTGGAATTTCACGGATAATTAGTAATCTGATCAAGCCAAAGCTACGACAGAAACCGCAATAAATTAGAGCAAGCTTCCAAATAAAATTTACATATAAACAGGCTTGGTTCACAGGGCTTTTGGAAACTTCCAACTTAAGCATTCATTTGGAAACTTCCAACTTAAGTGAAGATAAATGAAGAGAAAGAAACGAGTAGACATACAATCAAAGAAACACAGATCAATGTAAGGATTTTGGTTGAATATAATTATCTTAAATAAATAGATTAACTTATCATAATTATTCCACAATTATCTGGGCTGAAATTTCTCGCTTCCTAGAAGCTAAGTCAACATTAGAGTATGACAGGCGCAAAACTGCATAGCCTTCTTTCAGATTTAAATTATAATAAAATAACCAATTGGGTGGAATGTAGACGACAGTCAGTCACTAATTAGTCATTAACTAGGATGAATTTCCATAATAATAATGAATGTAATGCAGTGAGGAAGGACAATACATTAACGAAAAATCATGGATACAAACTTAAAACCAAATAAAAATCTGGAACAGAAACGTATATTCAAGACGGGAATGTAGGGGACACACAGTGTGAGCAGAGGTGGGCCTAGTGTGTGTGCAGGCATTACGCAAATGTGAGTAATAACGGCAAACATAAATAATAGTGTAAAATAAAACTTGTAGACAAACGAAAATATTTCCGCTAATAAAATTTGAATATTATAACAATAAAACCTAAGACACAATTTCCAGCTACGATAGGTAAGGATGATTCATAAAACTTAATAGATGTAAACAATATCTTCAGAGGAATGCGTTGGAAGGCTACTTATTAAAAACAATTATTTAGGTCAAAAAGTGAAATACTGACCGAAGAATCGTGGTTCAACTCGCTATAAGTCGGGCACCCTCAAGATTTCACGAGCAGCTGGAGTCAGATTATCGAAGCACGAGATAACAAAGTGATAATTCTTCAACATCAGCTAAATGTTATCACATGAAGATGGTCAAATTTGCATGTACAACAACGTCGCCCAAAACTGAACCTTCCCTAGCTGAAATGTTCAACTAAACAAGCCTCAGCTGAATTGTTTAAACTCGAACAGAAATATTTGTGCAGCAATGAAAGCTCCATTCACAGATTTTCACCGAATAGCCGATGAGTTTACAACACTCGTTCATGATTTGTTGGTATATTTCAAGTGTGGCATGGGCAGGGTTCTTAATAATTCATACACCCAGAGATAAAAACTCGGAAATCAAACCACGTAAAATGAGTCCAAGTAACAGGAACTATAGAAAACAAATCTTGGAAAACAGCCTTTTATCCACTGACGATAAATCTTGTAGCCTTTTAACCTTTTCGTTGGATAAGACTAGCTTTGAGGGTGGTTAATGTAACCATACAGTACGGGTACGGGATAAAGTCTGCAGCGCATTACCGCCGAGTGGTTGGGATTAACGATATTACGTAAACAAAATTTCAATATTAAGAAGATAATGGCAAAGTGAGAGCAGATCGTGAAGTGTCAGAGCCAAATTTCAATACAGTGTAAGTACCCAATGATGAAAAGAGACTTAGTTCGAATGAGAAATATGTTCAGTAGATCTCAGAGCACGACGTCAACGGTTATTCTGCTTACCTTAAACCCATCGCCGGTCAATAACTAAGAACAATATCCATAAAAACAGACAAGCGATCACAAATCTCCTGTCATTCTAACGCCTGAGCAAAATGAATTATCTAGCGTTGATTAATTCCATTTTTATTAAATGCAATACATAAACTTGTCGTGCCTCTCTTCCTATGCTAGTTACGGCTAATTAAAATAAAAAGATGATTAATTTACTATGAAATGCGAGTAAGCCAAATGAGACACAAAGTTTCCTACCCGCCAATTTCTTCATTTAATGTCCATATGGCGACTCTACATCCTCAAGTGTTGAGAAATACTTGCTTTTAAATTGAATACAGTGAGGAAAAATAAGAGTTCAAAATGTCAACGGACGTAGATGCCCCCACGTAAATTAATAGCGCAACACCAAAAGTCAGTGTTGCCAAGATCTTTCCTAAATAGTCACAGGTCCAATTTGATCGATACAGAAGTTTCCACTTATAGTTCGGCACACAAGAACGTTTAACACCAAACATGAGCATATCGCATTTCGACACCAAACACATGGACGACTTGGCACACCAACGACCAAGCACAAACATGACCCACATTCGATTTTTCCTGAGAAATCTCGCGCGTTGCTTTCATTAGTAAGTAAGTAGTAGAATGGTTTACTAGCGCTTAAGCTATCAAGCTATTTCGCGCCGGAGGAAGGACACAAGTTATCATCGCCAGCGAGGCGGAAGGTCTCAATTATTCAGTCTCAAATTAATCATCACCCACAAGAAACAGGTGGTCTCATATGTCCAGCCCGCTGTAGGTGGCTCGAAAGAAGCAGCGTTGGCATCTCAAAGAGACGAAGTGACAAGGAGGGACAGGTGACAAGCAACAGTAATGAAGACACTCGATCAGGAGGTCGCTTACACGGGACGTCGGCCACCCGCACGAGACAGAGAAGGGAAATGTAAGGAATCCTGCCTACATAATAACTTAACCCCACAACTGAGACCTACAGTCAGGCATCGCGAGCTCAGCGGTGGGGCGCTCAGGAACAAGCCCCCTAGGAGCGCGAAATACCATAGGACTTCTGACGAGCACAGACACACGTCAGAAGTCCCCCCTGAGGGGTTGCTTTCATGAGATCTCAACATCTCGCAATTTGTTCTGAAACATAACTCGAGAGCTCGATGGTTCACGATAAGAACTTTTTGACAAATACCATTCTCGCGACAACAATCACACATACGATCTAATGTAGGGCAATTTTTACAGAAATCTGACGACACCTACGTATCACTTTAGTAGTAGAGATTAAGTCCCAGATCATTGCTGCAGCTTATGCGCGGTAATTTATATAGTAATGAGCTCTGAGCAGCACTGCGCTCCCTGCTCACCCAGGGAGCTTTCTGCTCCTCCATGGAGTTCACTGCTGCTTCAGTGCTCCTCCATGGAGTTCACTGCTCCTCCATGGAGTTCACTGCTGCTTCAGTGCTCCTCCACGGAGTTCACTGCTGCTTCAGTGCTCCTTCGTGGAGTTCACTGCACCGTCGTGGAGTTCACTGCTCCTCCATGGAAATCACAGCTACCCCACTGCTCGTAACTTGAGCTCACTGCTCCTCCATGGAGATCACAGCTGCCCCACTGCTCGTAACTTGAGCTCACTGCTCCTCCATGGAGAGCTTGAGTATGTGCTGCAGGAGCTGCTCCTCGTGGCGGGCGCGGCTGTGCTCGTCCTCCTGCAGCTGGCGGCGAGACAGGGCGAGCGCGAGGGCGAGATCAGCGTCGCTGCTGTCGCTGCTCTGAGGCTCAGCGCCGCCCTCTGACGACGCCGGGGAACAAGAGCTGGGCGTCGACACCACAGCAGCTGCAATACATCACACTTGGCAAGAGACATGGACAAACAGAAACTACGAGACCTTTAGAAATAAACGTATAAAGAAGAAGGCGTGAGATATAGCGACAGCCGCCGGTAACGCGACGCATATTCGGAAATTAGCGTGATATAATACTGATTTAACCATAGAGGGCTGCAGTGGTGCTAATCGCAACTATGGTACAGATATTGCAATTCACTGAACTTATGGAAATGTGTAACAGGAAAAAAACTGGGATGAGAAGTACCGATCTGTTGACACGCAATGCCACACTTCCCTATCCGACTAACCCCCGTCCACCACGTCACCCCCCCCCCCATCACGTCATCACCCCCACACGCTACCATACCCCAATACCACACCTCCCCTCAACACCCATAGCATCTCACTGGGGGCCTGTAGGCTGCTGCCGTCAGCCACGGCAGCGACTCTCGTGGAGTTTGTGGGGAGCTGAGCCAGCATCAGGGACTCCTCGATGGCCCTGTAGTTAATAATTTGATATCAATTTGCAATTAACTCTTAATTTATACATCGATATTATTACGCAGCAATTATTAACCTAAAATTCTTTTAAACAATAGGCTTGATTGTAATAATATGCGTTTAAAAATTACTTTTTAAAGACAACACTTCTAAAGAATCCAGTGTCTCTGATGTTACACATGTACAAAGAATTTCTAATTTTATCATCAAATATTACAAAAATTAATTTTTAAATTTTATTTTTAAAATTAAAAAATTCAATTTTTCAAAATTGTTTATTCAGTCAATTGATTCATGCATTGCCTCCGACTTTACGCAAGTGTGGAAAATTTCAGCTCGATTGGACAAGTAGAAGTGTGTTGAATATCGATTATAAGATTTGAAGAAGACAAAATTATTTTGTCTATTTTTTTAATAAAAAAATTTTTTTACAATTTTTAAAATGATATATTGTGTCAATTGGTTCATGCATTGTCTGCAACTTTAGGCAAGTGTGCGAAATTTCAAATCAATGGGAAAGTAGAAGTGTGTTAAATATCAATTATAAGATTTGTAGCAGACATACAAACAAACAAGAAGTGAAGTTAAAGGGAAGTGTTGTAAAAAAAAAAGGTGGCGCGACAGAAACCGTTTGATTTGCAGATGGTGTTCGTAGCAAGAGAGGTGGGAGCTTTCTTTCAAGTCAATCTGTATACAAATATATTGAATTTGATCACTAATCGTCTAAAAGCTTCAAACATGAACTTGGATTAACAATAAAATAAAATATATAGAACTATTCTTAGCACCTCTGAAGGTCGGTTTGCTCAGCATTCTGCGCCGCGTACAACAGGGCTTCCCTTGACGGCTGCATCCTCTGGCCATTTGGTGAACCCAACTCGCCTTCGTCTGAACAAAATTCATCTATTAATTTCGGTGAATGAGAAATTAGGCATTGAGGTAAGAAATCTTTGATATTCCAAAGCACATCGATAAAGAAAAGCAGCTGGCTAAGAAAATAATTCAAACCTGAGGATCATTTCAAGGAAGTGACATCTACATCAAAAAGAGAATTATGTCAAAGGAGGTACATCGGTCTCTACCAGCAACGTTAACGCTCATGCTGTCATGGTGCTGTGGATATTGGGGGAATAATTTCTCTCTCAAAACAAATTTATATATTTTTTAACTTAATTAATGAATTCCACGTTGTAGTTCCAGGTCGTGTTTCATGAAGAGGTTGTCAACAATGCCACTATCTACCCTACCAAGGATACAAAACCACTTTAGAGGACACAAACACCCCTACTAAGAATGCAAGAGCTTGTACCGCAGAACGGATACAAAGACCCTATACTCTCACCTAGCTGGTTACGGACTTAAAATAACATATTTAGCGAAAATAAGGATTTAATCAATAACAGTTCTTCAGAACGACAACATCAGCGGTTATTGCCTATTGCTACTGTTCCATTGGCGGCTATAACCTTCTTTCTCAGACAGTAGCCCTTACTAGGCCTTTATACACCATAGACGACAGTTGATGTATACATAGAGTTAATGTCTATATAGACACAAGGATAACACATTTGCAGACAAAAGGTCCATATCCATCCACAAATAGCTAAAACACCCATACAAAAAGGGTAAAATTTCAATAAAGAAAGGCTTGAAATATCCATAAACAGAGGGTTAATGCATACATATATATATGGTTAATAGAGCCATACAAGAGGTAAACGAATCGGTATACACAAGTTTGCAACACATTCATTCTAAAGTGATGACGGGGTTCATATAAGAAGGGGCAACAGAGGTTCATACACTAAGGGTTAAGGGTTAACCCCCACGAGTGCCCCGCGGGCCCATCTGACCTTCAGGGTTCTGTTGTGGCGCGTCATTCCTCAGGGCCTCCCATACGTCCATGGTGGAGGCGAGGGGGCCAGCGGGGCCGTTAGCCCCCAGCAGCGACTGCTGTAGGGCGAACTGCAGCATCGCCTCGTCCTCCTCCAGGGCCAGCGACCTGCCCACCTGCGGCTCACCGGCACCTGCAGCACAAAAAAATTTAACTCAGTACTCACTGCAGTGAGTGACAGAGAGCGCATTTTCTCGTCGACGAAAACGTGAAATCACGGACGGACGGACGGACAGACGAACATGGCAAGCACAATAGTGTATTTTTTCCATAAATGAGAAAATGCGCTAAAAAGGCTTGCTGGCATCTAGTTCACATCAGGGAGTATTGAGATGTGCGGGAAAAATCCTATGGCGTAAAACGTCTACGGCTATCCAGAGGCAAGCTCTTCAATTTTGAGCAATATGACCTTGCCTCATATTGAAAAGTTTGGAATGATCATAAGCTCACAACAAGTCCTGGTGAAGCAAGGGCAACCCACCAATGAGGCGATAGTGAGGCGGGGCCTGGAAGATGTCCTGGTCCAACACGCACGCAAGTCTGTCAGGCTCTGCGATGCTCGTGACGCCCTCTACGCCCGAGTCCAGCCCGAAGATGTTGCCGAATGTTATACGCGCCGTCAGAACGTGGAACAGCGGAATTTCTGTGTGTGTGGGGGGAAGGTAGATCACAAAAAATGTTCATTTTTGTGATCAACCAAAAATCCGTGGATTGACAGAATTTTCGAGGTAGAAATACATTTAGGACACTAAAAATAACTGTTGTAAAAAATGAAAAAGGATGTGGAATAATGGAAATTTTGGGAAGGAAATAAGTCGATCACTGGCGATCATTAATGTCATCATCTGAAAAGAGTTAAACAGGAATAATGAATAAGAAGAAGTTATTAAAACATTAAACAATTAAAAAAAATTCGATACATCTTGACTCTAAAATCTGTGTCTGATTTTCGATCTCCCATTGAAAATTTGATTACTTTCTTCTATTTCATTTTGAACGCAATGATTTATCTCCAATCCCTCAACCCTAGAATAAATTTAAGCCAGAAAGCTGCCAATGCAGACCTATTTTAACAGGGAAGCCACTGGGCAGCTGCATCTGGATGAAGTGCTGGAGTTTGGCGAAGTGCGTCGAGGAGAGCGCCATCAGGTCAACGATGGGCATGACCTGCTCCTGCAGCCGAAGTGGGTACTCCTCCGCCAGCCACAGCACAGCCTACACCAGGGGCGTGACATGTCATGAGATGTCATGTATCATCACAATGATATAACATGTCATGAGATGGTCATGTATCATCACAATGATATAACATGTCATGAGATGGTCATGTATCATTACAATGATATAACATGTCATGAGATGGTCATGTATCATTACAATGCTATAACTTGTCATGAGATGGTCATGTATCATCACAATGATATAACATGTCATGAGATGTTCAGGTAATTTCACAATGTTGAGACCAGCACTCAAATGGAACATAACACATGTACATCATTGTTGTAATATACCTTGAATTTCTGCAGTTTGGTGGTCATTTCCTTAGGTCTGCCGATGTCTCTGTCGCCGAGCTCACAGTTCTCATCAAAATATTCCGCTGCCGTGATGCTGCACGGGTTGTAGCTGCTCTCCTCTGCGCAAGCATTCTGGGGAAAAAATGTTCAGTGAATATATATTAGGACTCCAATCCTAGATCGCATTTTGAAAATATCTAACACTATATCGCCTTCAGTGATAAGGAATGCAATGTTTTATGGCGTGCCTTCACCTGCGCGTCACTGCGCCGCACGCCTCACCTGCGCGTCAGGCGCGTCACTGCGCCGCACGCCTCACCTGCGCGTCAGGCGCGTCACTGCGCCGCACGCCCTCCGCCATGGCCAGGATTGAGTGCAGGGGGCTGCGCTGCGCCGCTGTGCGCTGCTTGTCCGCCGCCGTCATGTGCTCCGTGCGCGTGCGCGTCACGATCTCCACGCTCGTCGCCGAGAAAACCTGCGCAAAAGTGGCGACTTTAGTGAGGTGACACGTGACCTGGCGACTTCAGTGCGGTGGCACGTGACCTGGCGACTTTAGTGTGGTGGCACGTGACCTGGCGACTTTAGTGCGGTGGCACGTGACCTGGCGACTTTAGTGAGGTGACACGTGACTACTTTAGTGTGGTGACACGTGACCTGGCGACTTTGGTGTGGTGACACGCGACCTGGCGACCTCAGTGTGGTGGCACGTGACCTGGCGACTTTAGTGTGGTGACACGTGACCTGGTGACTTTAGTGTGGTGACATGTGACCTGGCGACTTTAGTGAGGTGACACGTGACCTGGCGACTTTAGTGTGGTGGCAAGTGACCTGGCGACTTTAGTGTGGTGGCACGTGACCTGGCGACTTTAGTGCGGTGACACGCGACCTGGCGACTTTAGTGTAGTGACATGTAAAATTTGATCTGATCAGTGCAGCAATAAATAACATTAGGTACATGTTGACACTTTTAATGACAGAATACAAGAATGTAACAAATAAATACAGCAAAGCAATGCTGCAGTAAAATAGGACACCAATGCTGAAACACAAAATCATTATAAATACAACTAACTGCTTAATGCTTTTACATCATTTAGAATCTAGTATAAGTGCTACTATTCAAGCCTATTCCTTCCAAAAAGAACAGATTAAAACTTGATAGTTGGCAAAAAAACATACAAGACGTATTGCAACCATGAAAAAATGTAGCGCCCATCTATATGGACCTAACCAACTATCAATTAATGGTTAATTATATTAAATAATTGATGGTTAATGGTACTTGGAACTGCCTCCTCACCTTGCAATCATGGCCATTTATGGTCTCCATCTTGTCAGCTCTCCAGCCCCAAAATCCTGATTTGTCCCTGCAAAAATATTTAATAATTTACTATAAAATTAAATCCAATCTACAATTATATCCAATATGGGTTCTTTCTTGCACTAATTGTTTGCACTATTAGGCAGTCGGCAATTATTTTTGACCCACAGACAGTAATCTGGGATAAAGCTTTTATGGCAAACTGTTTTGCTCACCCAGATTAAGTCCAATATTTTTAGTAACAAATAATTCCTAAACTTTATTAACAACGATGATTTAAAAATATTTTAAGCGCATGCTCAGGTTTTGATTGGGGGACAGTACTCCACTAAATTTTGATGGCCATGATTCAAAGTAAGTTTGTGGATAAATGATTGGCAACCTGTGATTTAAGACATTTAAGCAAACTGTACCCATAGCCCCTCTTTCTATACTAAGAACCTAACAAAACGATAGGAAAAAGACATTTGTAACCTCGGTGTTGGTGGAAACGTTGGTGTAGCAAAAGATAATTGAACTTCACTTTGATTGAATGATAGAAAAAAGTTATTTAATTAGAATACCAGTATAATATGAAGCCTTATTTCAAGTTAACTTTATTTTTTTTTAAATGAATGTTATTCCTTAACTAGGAAAATTTATGAGCCTGAGTGGTTTTTATATGAATTTAGAATTATCACGTCAGTCTAGATGTGTTTTTCATCAGAAGGTATTTAAAAGAGTCAGTAACGTTATTACAGTTAGGCACAACGATATCATCAGAGCTCACCGTTCAAAAGAAATTTTATCTGTGTCAATCGTGGTAGACACATTAGGTGTGGTGAGGCGGTAGGTGATGAGTGACTCTGATGGTGGTGACGAGCCATCACCACCTCCATTCTCCATCTTCTCCACGTACACCTGAGCAGAACGTAGAAGAACATGATGCCATTTGATGATAATAAGCAATGACGCAATAAACATGTTATGATCGATTCAGGGCTAGAGGCTCAGGAAAAAGTACTGATACTAAGCCTAGATTATGGAACATGGGAATGACTCGCAAGACATTTACATGACTACACCATTAAAACTTATATAATTGAATGTAAAAACTGAACTGAATATACAAACAGCCCCCACAACTCATGATCCTCTTGATAATTAAAAATCAATGTTCACAATACATAAATATAGTGGCAATTCTCATTGAGATGAACTCACTATTTTCTTGTCGTGGTCAACCTCATACATGATTGCATCATCACCTGAAATGAAAAAAAAATTATCTTGCTAGGAAATATAAATTGACAACGTATTTCATGCCATTGATGATGCATTACATCAAACTTTAATTCTTGGACAAGCATGGAATCATACTACGCCAGATATAATTTGAAGTCCATTTAGGACAAAGCAATTTTCAATAAAAAATGTATTTGTTCTTTGACACACTAAACAAGTGTATACCTGGTGTGCTGTCTTTCATTAACAACACAGCCATCTGAACCATACAAAAATAATATCATGAAGTCAATTTATTACTCACCCTGGCCTCTAAAAATGTACGACCGAGATCCACGCTGCCACTGGGAGTCCTGGAAGCCAAGCAGCGTTGTGTCAATGCGCACTGACGACCCTTGCTTGAACACACGGTATGTGTCGCTTGGGCACATCCGTGACACCAGAGGCACTGTAAGCAGGTTACAAAATATTATTAAAAATATTATAAATGCCCCTTACCCTAAATCACCTTTCATTTCGAGGAGAAGGCTTTGTCAATACGGATAATAGATAGGTATTAAAATAGAAACTGGATACTAGAACCCATTGTTTCAATGGATGGATTTCAATTTGGGAAATGATTTTTAGAGAAATCATGAAAACCACTTGGCAGCAGGGATTTTACCAGGGCTGCATACCACATTGTTCAAGGAGTAGGTAGTGGTTTTTAATTGAAGAAAATATTTGCTCTCTCAAATACTATGCACATGAGCAAAAAATAAACTTGACAAGCTTGCTCAAGAAATTGTGGACCAATTTCACACTTTATTATCTTATGGAATTGATATCTATCAGGTTGTTATTATTACAAAAGCATTCATATGCAAGTCACATGTGAAATTGAAATTATAAAGCTCCATTGAAAAAAATTGCAATAAACAATGATGCAAGATGACAAAACATATTAATACAGAGCTGATGTTTACTCAAAGACAAGTTGATTACATCAGCACACCATGAATAATTGATAAAAAGAATTTACCTTAAAAATTTCAAGTAGAATCCCTCGATAGTAATATAACAGCAGCACCTCAAAGAAATGAAGGGCAGAATAAGAATGTTTGCTTACCCCAGCTTGTGAATTCCCATTTCATTTCTACATAAAAATCAGGAGCTTGAGCAAGCTTGTGCAGGAGATGAGGTATTCCCAAGGCTCTGGTGCTGTGTCGCTCGGCATCGCAGGCTGTGAGTATCAGTGACAGCAATTCGGGATCTCCACATGACACTGCCTCTTGTACCACTGAAACATAAAGATTCTTCAAATAAATGCTATATAGATGTTATGATCGCAAAAATACCTATAATAGCATTGAAAAGCACTTAACTGACAATAAATTTACTAAAATCACAAATATTAGAGGGAAAGCTCTGTATGAGACAAAAGACTGTGGTCATCAGCATTAGGGTAACCACAATTAATTAATAATTTAAGCTATAATTTGATACAACCTTATGGCTAAGATGAAAGACAGGGCCCAGACTAACACTTACCATTCCATCCATCAGAAGTCTCAGCCTGAGTGGAGCAGCCAGCAGCAAGCAACACACGAGTGGATTCCAAGTGGCCTAATGTGATGGCCAAAAGAAGTGGAGTGCGGCCACGAGTATCACGTAGTTCTAAGTCATTCTGTTCACAGAAGTTTGATCAGAAAATTGCAAGCAGCTGTAATACACACAAAGGTAACAATATTTTCACCATCTATCATTTCATTTTTTTTAAACATAAAGGTAACAATATTTTTACCATCTAACATGATTTTAGTTACAATTCACTGTTTGCTTAAAAAATTGAGCAAAACTATTAAGAATTAACTAAAGAAAGTCACACTTACTGTGCCATTACTTAGATGCTGTGATAGACTGTGGATGTTATTATGCCATACATTGAAATGTAGAGGAAATTTTGCTTCTATATCAGAGGGCAGACGACCAGCAGCTTGGTCTGAGCCAGAGTTCTGACACTCCTCTTCATGGCTATTGGAACTCATCTTCACTTTTTCAACTAATCAGTTTAACACTTCTGTATCACCTTGGTAATACAGAAGTGATGCCAAGATGTGTGTGCAAAATTGTGTCAAGATCACTGAGCTGAACATATATGTCAGAATGAAAGTATGTTTATATATATTTAAAAGTGTGAGGTATTTGTATACATCACTGCAACTGTGAAATTCATCAATAGACTAGTAGCCTATGCAATCAAAACATTTCTGCAGAAAAAACTCATCTTACTCATGATATTAGATGATTTCTAATTCAGAAAAAATAACCATCAAATAACAATGAGTATAAGGAGCCTATTCATGGAATCTACTGATAATCAACAATGAATGCAGTCACTTTGGTAAAGTCTGTGCTATACAACTTTTTCCGATCAATTTTGGTAACACCATCAAACGGGGTAAAAAGGGACGGTTTTGAGCGTTTTTTTGTTAATAACTTCTTACCATGAAACATTTCAGAAGCAACTTTAGGCTCATTTTATAGCTCTTTGAGAGGGCTATCGAATGGCATCTTAAAAAAATTCCATATGCTATTCATAAGGTGCCAGACGCAAAATAAAACAGTCCTGATTTACCCCTGGGAACGGGGTATTCCGGGACACTTGCAATAAAAGTTAATTTTAAAACGTTTGAAGCATGCAGAGTGTACTCATCCATTACTAACAGTACTCTGAAGTCCTCCTCTCTCATTGTAGATGATGTAGATGTGAAATAAATAACATTTGATTTGATGTGATTTTTACTTGTTTTTCCTTTATTGATATGATATTACCATATTCATTAATTACCGTATTATTAATGTGATATTACTGTATCCATGGACATGCCATTGAGCATTGACAACAACCTTGTCCACTGCAAGCTTCATATCAGCAGCCATGTAGCATTTCTTCTGTATCTGTAAGCTTACAGGATGGTTTGTAATTTTGCCCAATTTTAATCGAGTCAAGTGATTTCACTATAACAAAAAAGATCATGAAAAACAAATACCTGAAACAGAAAATAATCTTTTAGACTTTTAGTGACAACCATCATATGTTTTGGAGAAATAAATCATAGTTTAGGTCAATTACTTTTCATTCTATGATGCCCGGTGTGCAATTCTATATATAGCATTCTATGTACAATTTTGTGACGACCGATGATGCACTAATTTTTTGATAAGTGAATTTTTTTTTGCTGAGCGAGGTAAATGTAATCAAAATTCTTTGTTGTTAATCAATTTTTTGTTAACTGGAGCCGTTGCTAACTGAGGTTTTACTGTAAATGCATTTTTAAGGGTGTCCCTAATTACCCTGGGGGGTGTCCCTTTTTACCCCATCGCGGGGAAATGGCTGCCATTTTTTTTGGGAATGAGATAGGCAAATTCTGTCAATTACGTTTTCAAGCCGACACCTGGGTGCAACTTTTATGTAAGTAAAATATTTTAATATGGCAAATATTTTTTTTGCTCCTGACCTTAGCAGAGGTACTTTTCCAAAATCGCACTTTTCACACTTTTTTTCAGCAATTTTTTAGAGATAGAAAATGTTGGATTTCTCTACTAGCTTTATACATAATAGAGAGTAAAAATGTTGACGTTTACACCACTATTTTTAGTTTTGCAGTATTTTGATTAGTTTAACTGCTACAACATTTCTATGAAATGTGGAACATTTCAACATTTCTATGAAGTGTGTGTGAAATCCCGATTTACCCTGCCCGTCCCTTTTTACCCCGTGTGACAGTATTCAACCAAGTACAGCTGCAGAAGTAGACAAAATTCATCAAATTAATCAATTAACAAGATGTCAATCATAGCAATTGTATAATTTAATTTGTGACATATGGTAGTGGTAATTATTTGTTTTTGTACACCTTCTTCTCAGATTCATTTGTAAACAAAATTTTCTTTCAAATTTTTTTGCATATTTTGTCAATCTGAGGATGGAACCAGGGCTTCACATTGTGTTTGAAAATAGGTACCTTGCTCTCCAACTTTGCCATATTCTGACTACCATCAACTGGGGTGAATTGGGCCACCGGGGTGACTTTGGCCAATGTTTATGATTTTGTTTTGCGGCCATCTGTTTTTGTTGTAGTTGTGTTCTGTGATTGGAACAAAATTGTATCCAAAGTAGTTTTTAACACGTTTTTCTTAACTTGGCTTTGTGTTTGTTTGTTTGTTTGTTTGTTGTTAACATTGACAACGAAAATTAGCCCACTTCTGATTGCTCTAGCGATCTGAAATTCGGCATGCAGGCTATTTTTGCCTAACAATTTCAGATACAATCATAAAAACTAGCAATTAGAGACCTAAATTAGCTTAATTGAGTAAAGTATATATATATATATATAGTATATATAGTATGATGTGTGGGCGCTGACGTTATAGACGAGCAGGCGCTGACACTGCGCATCATCGATACGTATGTCAAGTCAAGTAAATTGGCTCGCAACAAAGTTTTTCATGTTTAGCAACGGACTAAAAAGGAGAAAATAAAATACTTAAAAAAAACTTTTTAAAAAACCACGTTTTTCTCGTGGACTAAAAAGTAGAAAATAAATTATGGCTCACCCCAAAAAACGCGAGTTGGGCTCTACGTTCACCATCAAATTTCCAAAATTCGTGTGCTATGTGCTTTTGGCTTTAATCATAAATCTGCCTGACACACGTTTTTTGGGGCGAGCCATAATTTATTTCTTATCTATCGATTGGAAACTATTTTATTTCAATAATTTTATATCCTGCTTGACCAACACAATCTGAATGCCACAGTACTGTAAAGAAAAAAAAGCTGAGTGCAAACTTCAATATTTTGAGATACGAAAAGAATTTTGGAATCAGATTTGTTTCACTTATTTTGGTATCTTGTATAATGATTATTGCAATGGCTATACGTTTTTTTACCAAATGTAATATACATGCTAGAAAAATTAGCTGGCCAAAGTCACCCCATAGTATATGGGCTAAATGGGGTGACTTCGGCCAGCCAATAAATGTTTAGAATAATGGATTTTTCTTCTTTTTTCAGACAATATGCACAGCTATAAATGTAAATTAGATTCTGTGCCATATAGGATATATTATGTGGAGTCGTTTGAGAAAGTATTGCAATTGATAAAAGATGGTGTTAGGCTGTTAGCTTAAGAGAAGCTGCTAATATTTGCGAAGTCAGTGCCTTGTTCACCTTTGAGCGACTGATGTGCTGGCTGTAATGCAAAAAAATTTAGGACAGTCTACTCTTTCACCTAAGGAGGGGGGGGAGTCAGATTTAGTATCCTACATTATTCTGCTTTCAGACTGGGGCTTCCCATTAGGTGGTATGGATCTGCCTTTTATGGTTAAAAATTACCTTGACAAACAGGGTCGCACTTTACGTAAATTCAAGGGTTGCACCTCTATCAAGCATCATTGGTTTTTTGAAGAATGCTCGAGATCCCATGTGGACTAGATTTTTTCAAACTTTCACATCCAGCTGCCATTGAAATTGACAGAAAGCAGCTTTAATGAAGCATATGATTCGCAAATGTGAGTTTTATCTTTGAGTTACAATTTTTATAATACACAGTGGCATTGATTATCATTTTTTAAAACACCCTACATGGCCGATGTCACCCCGCTAATGGTTGAATTTGGCCATGAAATCATTTTACAATGTTTTTACTGTGTTTTAACACATGTGGCCAAAGTCACCCCATCGCAGGGTGACATCGGCCATTCAGCTAATTAAAAAAATAAAATTATTTTTCGATAAGAGTGACATCATTTAGACATAACATATTTAAAGAACCTTTCAGTAATATATTCACAAATTTACAATCACCAGCAATGCTTCATTCCTATTTTGTATGAATTTGATCAGCAGAAACTAGTGTAATTTGGCCGAAGTCACCCCAGTTGACGGTACCAGTGTTATACCGTAAAATGGGGTAACTTAGACCGGCGGGATAACTTAGACCACTTTTTGTTTTTTTGATGAAAACCCCCAAAACTCAAAAACTATTTGACATAGAAAAATTTTGTCAATGGGCATTAAAGGCCTAATACTGAGGCTACATAACACAATAGAAAGATTTAAAAAGTTTGCATATCTAATAGGTTAAAAAATTAAAACTGTGACCCACAAAAAAAGCTATTATTTAAAGCCTGTCAGAGTACCACCTCCAATTTTTCTTATTTTTTTGTTAAATAACTCCAGGTTTTGATGCATTGTAGTAGAACTCTTCTAGTTACATATGCAAATGACAAATTTTAGGAAAGTGTCATAGTTTGCAAATGGAGGGCGCTGCCCCCAAATGGGGGAACTTAGACCACCTAATGTCAGCCCTGATGGGGTAACATAGACTGGCTTGGAAGTTAATATAAAATTACCATAGATAACATATTTTATGTTTGACAGCCTATTTGTGTTTTTTCTTTATGTTTCAGACTCTACAGAGTCTTATATAAAGACTATGAGAGGCAGGAGCCAGCAATTTATGGTGAGTGAAGCTAGAGTATAGACCTGTATTTTGCATGTTTCAATTCAAGTTTAATTTAGCTAGTAAAAAAATGGCATCATTTATAAAAAAAAGTGGTCTAAGTTACCACATTTTACGGTACAGATTCAAACACACTTGAATGCATTAGAACACATACAAATGCATAATAACAAGTGAAAATGCATTAAATCACATTAGAATACACTAGAATGGATTCAACAATGTTAAAAAATACAAGAATGCACTACTATATCTCATTAGAATGCACTAGATTGCATCAGAATGTCTTAGAATCCATTAAAACGCATTAGAACACACTATATTGCATTAGAAAGGACTAAAATGCATTAGCATGCCCTAAAACAGACTAGATTGCATTAGAACACACTAGATTGCAATAGTACACACTAGAACACATTAGTATGCACGAGAATGGACTAGATTGCATTAGAATACACTAGAATGCAATACCGTCAAACAGGGTAAAAAGGGACGGTTTTGAGCGTTTTTTGTTAATAACTTCTTACCATGAAACATTTCAGAAACAAGTAAAAAAGTCACTAGATTGCTTTAATCACAGATTCACTAGAAATTTAAAAGCAAAGAAAACACCACAAAAGTTTAGCATATCTCTATTGAAAACGTTTCGGAGACCAGCTCCATCGTCAGTTCAATAAATCTAGAACACAGATAAAGGTAGAAAATTAGTTTGGAGTTAATAAAAAAATAAACACAGAAGT